TAGTTTAGTTTGAGACTTTATATTATAGTTATGTCCTTAAATACAGTTTTTGAATATAAATTACTATTGACTAAACTTTAGTCAATAGTAATTTATATTCATTAACTGTACTTTTGATAATACTATTTTATATCCTAATTTGTAAATTATAATTCACATTCGTTTACAGTAAAATGTTGCTCAGACATCTTAAGTTTAAAGTTTACGACCGAAAACTACATATTTTATAATGTAAAAATCACCTGATAAAAGAGATTCTTAAACGATGTTCAGAGCAACTCCTACATACATGTAGTAACAGGTATGGTTAACAAATGCAAATGCAAATTATAATTTACAAATAAGAATATAAAAAAAAGTATCATTAAATATTATTATGAACTAGTTTATCAAGTGTAAAACTGTTTATATTATTATTTTTTTTTTGAAAAAAATTGTATGTCATACCTAGGGTATTGATGTAACAACAAGAGGAGTTATTTCACATAGAAAATTAAATTGTGAAAGAATTTTACCAAGATAACAAATAGCCAAATTATGCAAGCATTTCTAATCAACTCTTGAAAAAAAAACAATGTCATATATTTAATTAATGATTTGAGAGAATATTGACACTTATTTTTAATATCTTGAAAAGGAAAAAAATGATAAAAGTGTGCTTAAAATTCTAGGAGTAATTTCGTCCTTCAGTTAAATTTTGTCATGAAAGTTAAATATTGATATCCGTCGAAGGTAGCTTAATTGTGGCAATCTTTTATAAAGCTAATTCATTATCTGAGAAGAAATTCATTTACATATGTAAAATAAAAGATTGCAATTTAATTAGCAGAAATATAAGTCTCTCATGACAGGGTTTGGATTATTAAAACAAACTGTACCTGATAAAATGTATATTATTTAAAAATATTAATTTCATACATTATGATTTTTTTAAAACCTGAAACTATTATATATCTAAATTTTAACAGAATATCTTAAGAATATCTATGTAAAAAAAAATTCTAAAGAGGGCTCAACTAAACGTACATGTATTTTCTAATAATTTATTAATTTTTTTTCCCACAATGTAATGCATTGGATGATTTTAATACAATCAAAATGCAATAATTTCTTCCGATTCGTTGAAAACAAAAACCCAACAAACTATTCTTTTTCACCGTCAAAGGGTTAAAAGGCGAACCATAGAATCATTATCTACAAAAACAGGATGTAATCAGTTTGTATCTTTGTCAATTTTATATATAATATGGAATGCAAAGATCGGTAACTCTTTTCAAAATTTTGTTTTCCTGTAGCTTGATTTGTCTCTTCACAGTCTGAGAAAAAAAAACATAATACAATCTAAGAAAAACATAATTAAATCTAAGAAAAACATAATACAATCTAAGAAAAACATAATACAATCTAAGAAAAACATAATAAAATCTAAGAAAACATAATACAATCTAAGAAAAACATAATAAAATCTAAGAAAACATAATGAAATCTAAGAAAAACATAATACAATCTAAGAAAAACATAATACAATCTAAGAAAAACATAATACAATCTAAGAAAACATAATTAAATCTAAGAAAAACATAATAAATTCTAAGAAAACATAATACAATCTAAGAAAAACATAATACAATCTAAGAAAAACATAATAAAATCCAAGAAAAACATAATATAGTCTAAGAACTCATATTGAAATGTACTGAGTAATTAATAAAATTACAATTATTTTGTCTTTTTTCTCAATTAAATTACTAAGCTCTAAGGTATGTAATAATAAAAATTTCAATTGATTTACAAAAGACTTTGTTAAATTACAAATTACATTTTCATTTTCACAAATATATATAATATTTGTGAATAAATACAGAAAAAGTACAATATAATTTGTTCAGACTCTGTGCTAATTTTACATTAAAGCAAATAAACATAATCTGAATAGTGCATGTGTGTTTATTATTAAATAAATTTTGGAGAATTTCCTGTGATTAATTTGACAGCTTTTAATATTTTAATGTGTCCTAAACACAAGATCTACATGTACATGTATATTAATTGCCTCTCCTGTGAAATTTGATTAAAAAAGGTTTTCCAAGGATTTATGAATCAAAAATTTCAAATCATTTCATTAGTAGGTAAAAATGCAAATGTTGACAATATTCACAATTTTCGCATACAGTGTATGTCATTTTAAATTACAAAAGGGTAGATCAAAATGGACCATTGGAATGTTTGCCAAGTGCTATAAAAACATTTTGATCTGCAAATTTAGGACTCTTATATCCTAAATCATTTTTTTTTTGTTTGTTTGACGTCCCTTGAGAGAACTTTTCACTCATATATTAAAAGGCACCACTCTTGTCGGTGGAGGGCTGGATATTTAAGATCTAAACTTATGGCCTTTGAGCAATGAGAGATCTACTTCGTGCCAGCACCTACTACAACAGGGGACCTCGGTTTATATGGTCTCATTCGAAGGAACGGTCTCCACATCCCGAAGTGAGATACGAATCCGCGAGATAAGAATCAACTCCTTACTCCCGACTCTAGAGCAAACGCTCTAACCCATTGCTCGACGCGGGCGACAAATCATATAATGAGACATCTGTATAAACATTTTTCACCACCGACAGATATTTAACAAAAAAGTTTAGAAAAGAAGTGACAAAACAACACTTGGCCAAAAGCTATAAAACATACTGGAGCAAACAAAAAAATCGGGAAGACCTGAGCAATCTTATTCAACGAACTCGTTAAAAACTCTCAACTGACAGAAAGCCTTTACAAATTGAAAGATTTTTTATCTTATAATAAGTTTGTTTTACTCATAAGTAGAAAATTCGGCAAAGTTAGAATTCCAAAGATAGGAAGTTATAAATGAGTTCCTCTGTGAATAATTCTTTGAACGAAATGAAGCATTGTTAAACGTAAAAGACTTTTGATAATGTATGTACCTTGGCCTTTATTTTTATCTACAGAAAAGCAATAAAACAGACATACGAGGGTTAATCCAAAAGTAATGTTTCAACTGCTATAAAATTTTATTAATCAAAACTTTTCAACAAACTCAACAGCCCTAATAATTCATTCAGATATATACAATACTTTATAAAATGATAAAATAATTAAACATAACTTTGGGTGTCGTCTATCGCCGCAAAGCAAGAATATGACCTTTCTCTTCGACACTAATTTTGAATCTGATGATACCTAAGATTTACTCAAAAAGAAAGAATTTAGAGATAACTTTTGGACAAAGTTCAAATAATTTAATACATGATGGTTTATAACAAAATGGCAGTAAAGAGTATTAAAAAGATCACGGGAGAGGTTAAAAAGATAAGCTGATGAAATGAAAATGAGTGCCGAAAAGTAACGTCGGTATTATTCTTGTCGTGTGGCAATAGACAAAACCGAATGTTGTGTTTTTCTTAATATTTTAAAAGTATTTGATATAATCGAAAGAAATGTTCAGGCAAAAATCAAAATAGATAGGGGTATTAGTATGTCAAATTTTGTTGATAACATTTGATTCTATAGCAGTTGTGATATTAGTTTTGGATCATCTAAACATGAATAATAAATAGTTTACAATATAAGTATATGGCTAAATTATAACCATGATGTAATGAAAAAAAATCTCTAATATCATCAATAACGGTAAAGCCACCAAGAAAGACTCATTTTCTAATTTCATTCAAGAAACATAAAATGCTTTATTGACATTTTGATGACTGTGTGTATTCAGCAGAACTAGGCTTGTTACCATTGATGGATCTGTGCTTTTTATCTACACACGGATGAACAGACTTTTTTTACTTTCCAGAATTTGTTTTCCCCATGCTAGACATTTATATTCCAACAATAAAAATTAACTAAAAATGAGCTATTATCAATTCGGAGTACGAGTGGATGAAAATGCTCCACAAAAAGCAAATTTAACTTACCTTTCTTCACTGTTAGATTTCTTTACCTTTTCCAATGTATTTAGAAGTATATATGTACATATCTTTATTGGCTATCACATTAATTTCGAGAATAAAAACCATTCATTTAATTCTGTAATTTCTCACAATGCATGGTATAAATAAACACCAGACATGTAAAGCCTCAGGAATTTTCTAAATCTGAAATATTAACTGTATTTTAATTAATATTACATTAATCATTTAACTTTGAATGTAATTTGTAAGTGCATGTACTCTTATCTACATGTAAATAAGAGAAATCGGTACTATTTTAGCTACTAGTACAATGACTTTGAGATAAAAAATTAAGAAAAACACAAATAACAATCCCCTTAGAATGAGAGCTTACATTTTTATTTTTCACAAAATACGCCCATTTGTGGTTCAATCAAATTTGAGCATATAGGCCTATACTTCTTTGCATTATATTGACCGTAACTGTACTGAATACTTTGTCCAATAATTAAACAACTGTAGGTAATTGAAGAATTCTATTTTTCCATATTGGCAGTTAATTCAAATAAATCTGGGCAACCACTCTCCAGAATCAAAGACGAAACACACTGAAACAGAAAAATCATTTAAATTTGTTTTGATTTTATACTTTTAATTGTATTTTGTTTGAAAAGCCTAGTTGGTGTTCACCGTGGCAAAGTCACTGCTCTGAAAAGATAAATATTTGTATCGGACTATTGTATTTATTGTGAAATCCCTTTCATTAGTTATCCAATAAAAGACAATTCTTAATTTTGAAAATTGTGTACAATGTATTCAATTGCAAACATAACAATGTACTGAATTAACAGAACAATTGACTGGGGAAATCAGGGTACATTAAGTTCATCGAATTGTCCGTAATATAGTTCCTACCTATTACGCAAAAAAAGGTAGAGAAATAAAATAAGTATTTATTCTTTTGAATTTCAAAATGTGAGCAATAATTTAATTTGTTATAAATTCCTTATGGGTGCTCAAAGACCTCTCTATGAACAAGCACAATGAAAAACAAATGCTTAGTCTGCTTAAAAAACAAAACAAAACAAATACTTTTTCATTGTCAATGTTATGCCTCACAGACATAACCTGAAACAGAGAACCCGACTCCCTCGTTAGTCCACTTATAATCCATGTTAGGATGAAGGACAATGAACTCCTTTTTACTGTTTATTGATGTCGGGTCGGACTGACTACTCCACTGCGTATAAAAATCACTCACTTTAGATCCATCATCATAGAGCCAGTCTCCTGGATATTCAAGTCTTTCTCCTTGGATAAGGTAACTCGATCCTTCAACACTGGCTAAAAAGACAATTGTTTGTATGATGAAATAAATATTTATTTTAGGGTTAATTTAGAAATTATATTTAAAGCTATCAGTATTCAAAATTAATATCCTTTTGGAAAACTATTGTAGATATTCAGCTCTAATCTTAAAAATGCACAACCAAGTGCAAACAAGTGGAATGAAAATAGTGTTGAAAACCTGAATGCATTTGAGTTGAACTTCTTTAGAAACATCAGACAAACACTACGGGTCAGTTTTGAAGAATTAATAGTAAAGAATTTAATTTGGTCCGATAAGTTACAAAGGGACCGGTAACATACGAATGATGCTTGTTTTATTTTTTATTCCGATGACCTATATACTATACTGTTACATGTAGCGGTCACCCATTTAAGGACTGTTCATGCTTACTGCAGTGTAAGGTCCATGAAATTGAGTGAAACTTTACCGTGTCAGTAGAAAAGGAAGTTCTCTATAAATAAATAAAGGATCACAAAAATCAACCATTGGATGCTACCGGACCTCGTAATCAGTGAATGCAATGCTGTGTATAGTTTAAATATTTTAATGCCCCTTGATATTTACCTCAAGGCTTAAATCATTCACATTCATAAACAAGCGACCCATGGGCCAAAACACTCACCTGCTACGTTCTGAAGAAGATTTAAAAAAACCCCTCTTTTTTCCAATAAAAACAAATTACTCTATTTTGTGACCCAACCTTAGTTCCCAAGAGTTTATAATTTAACTGAGCATGAATCCACACAACACTGGGATACTTCAATACCAATATGACTTACAATGAAACACATTGAATGGTAAAATCTTATGTTTGAATGGAGCGTTTTGAGCTTTCTTTAGAACGTTAATTGTCATATAACGACAGGCCCATTTCTTTTAGATAGGAAAAGAACGGTCAAATGGTTAATTCGATTACCTATAGAACAAGTTTTCCATAAATACAATTATAGCCAATCAAATTGACAGTCTATATGTTGTGGTAACTCCAATAAACATAAGTTCATAAAAACGTACAAATTCGTTGCACCATGTTTTTTAAACAGAGTCTCTAACTCTTCCTCCTAACTTCATAGCATCTCCATTTTAGTAAAACTCATGTTGCTAGTCGCAGAGACTGGGGTGTCTTAAAACATTGCGACGAATATTTCTTTCTCGTTTCTAAAGAAGTGGATGTGTCATTATGTAACAATTTACTTTCGATAAAAAAAAGACCCAAACTCTCCATTCAAACGAAAAATTTTTACCACTTCAATGCTCATCATTAACAGTTGCTACCTATTTTTTTTATCAACTTAGGTCAGTCGCGGCCGTGATTCGAACACACGACCTACCGATCACGGAGCGAGCGCCCTTGATATTTGAGGTAGGCCCTTTAATTAAAGACAAATAACACAAAGTCATCTATTCCCGTTTTTTAAAATGATTTTTTATCACATTGATTTGCACGAAGGCCTTCTGGTTTGGTCCTAATTAAGTTATTAAGTCATACTAACACAAGTTATTACAAAGTATCCAATTTCTAAATAATTTGTTACTGAAAATGACTTCAAGTTATTGAAGTCACACATTAATCTTTGTGGACTTAAATAGAAATTGTACTTTCCAAATACAAAATTGAAAGTTTTTATGAATTTTTGTTGGTGCAGTGTTAAATTTAGAATTCTATTGCCATCAGCAGTATAAAAAAATGCTCACTGGCTTAATGAGATGAAAAAGTTGAGGTGAAAAATGAAATGAATGCAACAACATCACATTGTATTTATGTTCATGTACATTGTATATGACCTTGCTGTCCTACAGAAGAGAAATGTTTTAAGATTTTATTCCTTTATATATTATGCTTTGTTGCAAGTTTGGTTGAATTTGGACCAGTGATTCTGAAAAGACATCTAACTGTGAAGATTTACAGATGAATGAATTTGGTTGAATTTGGCTCAGTGGTTCTGGAGAAGAAGTCTAAAATGTGAAAAGTTTACAGATGAATGGATTACGGACGACAGGTGATCTGAAAAGCTCACTAGAGCTAAAAAATTAAAAAAAAAAATTCTCACCCGTCATATTTTTGAATAAGAGAACCTTTTCGTTGCTATTCAATTTTACGAGGTGATGCCCCTCTGACTCGCAATTTTCCTCTATATCTCGGATTTTGGAAGGCTCCTCGTGTATTTGATAGCAAAGAGTGGTACCGTTGCTTGAAGCACAATTGAAATCTGGCGGACAGCAACTACAGATATCTAAAATATACAAAAAATCAAAAGAAAATTTAACGTTATTAAAAATTAAACATGAAATATAGGAAAATGTCTATGTCTATACAAAAGTGTTGTCTACTGAATTCGCATGAAATCAACACGAAGCAAAACACCTGAAATTTTGTAGATGTAATTAACCGTATTGCAGCTGAGAGATAATTTCATTAAATATTCAAGTGAAAACTTTTGCCAAAACACATTTGTCGAACAATTAAGCGAATCCTGATAGGCAAAAGGTGACTGATATTAAGCGATAATAAAAGACTCCGTATCTACATGTAGTGAGGAAGATCAAAGATCATGCATTATATCAATACAAATTAATTCCATAAGAAAGACACGTAGAAACTGCAGCACGTACCATCTGGAACACAGGAAATAAGTTCTAAAGATTTCCCAGGACATCGTAAACCTTCATACTGTGGTTTTGGATTGTTGCAAACACGTGACCGGAAGGATGTACCTGTGCTCTCGGATACAACCTTTCCACAAGACAACTGACATTCAGACCAAGCTGTCCAAGCATTCCACTGACCATCAACTGTAAAATGAATAATGTATACAAATAAAATAATTTATTACATTTTCAACAGTAAAATACTGTGATTTATTTATTGAATAAAAGTGATATTCTCTCACAGTGTGAAAGGATACCAAAATAATATTCTCTCACAGTGTGAAAGGATATCAAAGTAAGTAAAAAATAATTTCTGGCCTGTCATAAGATAGAGATAGTACCTAAGCATCTTGATAGAGCTAAAACTGCAAATTTCTTAATATAAATATATTGCTAAAATCCATGCTATGTAATGTTTTCAATCACACAACTGCTAAACTGTGACGTCTCAACCGCTCAACTATGACGTCAAGCCTATGACACTGTGTTAAGAAAAAACAGAGGCAAAGGGAAAATCAAAGAAAATGTAATAAACAGAAAATTCAATGTTTTGTAGATGAATATGGAATTTATTTCACTCGTGAGACAGGATTTTTTGATACTTTCACTCGTGTTTCGCACTCGTGAAAATATCAAAAAATCCTGTCCCACTCGTGAAATAAATTCCATATTCATCTACAAAACATTGAATATCCTCTATGTATAATTCAAGAACAAGAGGAAATTCCTGTTGTATACGTTATGACAAAAAGCATAGGCCTTGAAATGCTGAAATGTTTATCAAAATCTTAAATTCAAAAGATGCAGTATTTACTTTCAGACAATCTATAATATCTGCATGAAATTTTCGGGTAGATATAAACCATCCAAAAAAAACCTACTCGGTGGATGCTTTGCACAATCTTCGTCTATAAATCCGTCGGCATCGTCATCTGCAAGAATAAATAGTATTTATTATCTATTAGGTGAAATATCTTGGTATAGAATTATAAACTTATTCATATAATATGTGATCATAAGTCATTTTTCTTACTAAGTTTATCAGTTAACGTACTTTAAAAAATGTTGAAACATTTCTTCCCCAGTTGTTAAGTGCCAATAAGTACATTTATTTTCTAATCACTTACTAGTACACTAAATTCAATATTAAAATATGAGTTACTGGTTCTCAATACAAAAAATGAAAATATTTAATTGGATGTACTTATTTGTTTTAGTTGAAATTATGCAATTTTAGTGATATTATATTGAAAAGCTCGAGAGTGTTACTTTGTTCTTAGGTCCTTCACTCGCACGAGGTAAAGAAAGTTAATGAAAGCTTTTGTTTGCTAAAAAAAGGTGTCCTTTTATCAGACAGTTCAACCAGTATCAATAAATTAATTGTTAAATATTAAACATGCATGTCAGTAAACTGTTTTGTCTTTCAACGCTTGATCATGTACTAGTTCTTGTAAACAAAAGGTAGCACCATTACTTATTGTCTCTGATGCAAAATCAATCTTTTCCTGTCTAAATCGATACCAATGATATGTCTTTCATCGTTGAAAGAAATGATTATGTTTGCCTAAATCTGTTTTGTTTTAATTAAAAGCTATTACAAAAGTGTTAAAGATTTTTTTGTTTTTCAGTAAAATGTAAAAATCTATTAAGCACTACTTCAATTCAAAAGCTCTCACACATTGCCTCACTTTGACATAGCATCCATATAAATTCCTTCATCAGCGATTCATCTTATACCTCCAAGATGTTACGAAGTTTAATTAGAATGGTACCTATCGCCATTTGAGTGTATTCATGGTCTTAGGATACAATAATATGATACCTATTAAATTTTTATCACAAATTTCCTCGTCAATCAGCCCATCACAGTCATTATCTATACCATCTGGGACATCTCCATTGGTCACATTGCACGGCTGAAAGTGAAATACAAGGTCAGCTGAGCTAAATATAGATTTCATCAAAAATATAATAAACCTCTTTTCTCATTTAGCTTAATATAAAAATTGTTTTGGTCTTTTACATATTCAAAATGATCTATTACAATATTATAGATATTTAATTAGATTTAGCTTTCTTACGACCTTTGATACTATTTGCTGTATCATTATACACACTACTAGTACAGAGCTCCAGATAATTTTTTACCTCAAAGTGTATTTACTCCCTGATTTTCAAATCAATACAGATTTTGCTTTTTCAGCAAAATAATCAAAAAGTATCTTTTTAATCTATTGCTCTTTTGACATCTAATGTGATTTTTAGCTTGTTATACAAATAGGTGTTTTCTGAAAGAGGAATGCATAATAAAGAAAGAAAGACAGTTTCTGCATTTATCAATTAGGTTAATAAAATTTTTAAAAATCTTGTCAGCTTTTAGCTATAACTGACAGAGAGAAACATTTCGTTTCTTTCACCAGAAAGACCATATGGTAGGCGAAGTTACCAAGGATTAGGCCTATGTCGATCGTAGCAAGAGTTACGAGAAAAATATCCTTCCTTTGGCCAGAAAAATATAATATTCAAATTTTCATCCCCACCTGCCCCTCTCAAAATGTCCCGCCCCGTTGTTTTTGTTCTTGTTTTGTTTTTTGTTATCAAAAATATATATTAGGTTTTGGTATATAAATTGTTGGCATCGACCGAGGTAAAAGTTTTAGAGTTACTCCCCGTTTGCATTAAAAGTCACGTGGCGCTATTTATAGCAAAGGGGCATGTGGAAAGCAAAAAAAAAAAAAAAAAAAAAAAAAAAAAGCAATTATTTTCATACAATTAATAAAGGCTGTCTGCGGACTGTAGATGATCATATTGCTACAGAAAATGGTTAATATATAAGAACTGTGTTATAAACAGCGATAAAGGATAAATTAGACACCATGCGTGTTTTGTGACAATATCGACGTGTACGCGCTGAGAACGAAAATTTGGATGTTATATGAACAGTGGAAATCTGTGATATTTTCAGACAAAATACGAGTATTTAATATTCAAATCTTTCTCCCGAACTGGAAATCGGCCTACTAGGTTATTCCGAATACGCTTATAAATCAAAATTTCATTTTGATAAAAATTCAAACCGTCGTATGCAGTACTTTCGTAGTGTAATGCTTATTTATGATTGCTAAGGCATAATTGTACGCCCTGTTCTAATTTTTAAAGCGTATTTTGAAAAATTCAATGCATATTTCTACAAATACGCACCTTATCTGGAGCTCTGCTACTAGTATACTTATGTGTTTTACGTACCGTGTTTATTGGAGACAACCTCATTCCGGCAGGGAATCCATATGATTCAAACCTAGCGAGTCCATAAATATATCCACCAAAGACCACAATTGGTGAAGTGTGACGAAATGAGTGGGAACCAGTAGACACTGAAACATGGGAAGCCAAGTACTGAGTCCCTATTATTTGCCTATAAATCTGACTTGATGGTAGGTTCACTCCATCTAATTGTAAACCGTCTGCATCTTTCGAGTGCACAACAAACATAAAATAGTTGGTATATTCGCCTAATGAGTACTTTGGGGTGGTGAAGACATATTCTGAGCTATACTGTTCAATCGGAGGGATCAGTGTCATGGCTGGGTCGGCCATCTCTAGAACCTGGCTCGACACAATCTGAACCAGCATGATGGGCTTTGAAGACGTGACAAAGCTGTACAGATATGATGAGTGGTATTTTTCTAAGAAATCACCGGCTTTTGAAAGATACAGTGTGTATGATACGTTTTTACTAAGTTTATAGTCAAATCCAGTCGTTTTTACTACGGTACTGTCTTCGCTTGCAATAAACCGGAAGTAGTCACCGGTCGTTCGAGTAGGGATAGGTAACGTAATAAATCTTTTGCCCCAAGAATTTGTTGGTGTCATTTGCTGAACCAGATGGTCTTTACTGGTACCAAATCCAACGTTTGTGCGCCTATTTCCGCTATAAACCACAATAGGCTGGCTTGAGTTAATTCTTGTCCCTGTTATATCTGCTGGAGCTTGTATCTGAACAGTGTCAAATGGACTTATCTGAAACTTGACGACATCGCCATTGCCATAACGTTGCGATCGGAATTTAATTTTAGAATCATCACTCATTTTTATCCGTATTTCTACAAACGTATCCGCGAAAACGCCGCATATAAGAAACTCAGTGTTATAATTTGAGGGAAAATGAGATACTGTGTAATATTCTCTGCCAAGGACATCAATCGGCAAGGCGAGGAATGCATCAGTAGAATATTGTTCTTTATTGACGCCATAAACGATAACTTCATCACTGGCAGACACACTGAGCGCCTTCTGACTTTCGCCTGTTCCATACATACGAAATTCATTGCTTATGAATAATTGCTTTGTTTGACCAGATGTCAAAGTAAAAGACTCATACACAGAAGGCATATTCCATTTTGGAGAAGTTACTACGACCTTTACTTCATAAGGTTTGGCAGTGGTTATGAAAAGCTCGACAGGTAACGCTCTTTGAAAATTTTCCATAAATGCAACAACGAAATCTGTTCCTTTGTTGTCCGGAAAATCTCAGAAAGAAAAAAATATAAATAAAGAATATATATATGAAATTTAAATAAAAATAATAAAAATATCTTTTTCGTCTTCAGGATGGAACCAAAAGTGTAATGTATTTTTACAAAATACTTCATGTTTAGAAGTCTATTGTCACAAAATTTATTCCAGCTTTAAGAATAATTTCATATCATAATGATTCAATCAACTGAAGGAATACAATCACCGGAAAAGCAGCAAAAATATTTTTTTTTCCAGAAAACCTTGAATTGGTCCAACAAACTGACTATAATAGAGTGTATCCCACTCACTGAACATTAACTATGCATATGACTCTGTTTCTATGAGGAACAAGAAATGAAGTAGAAATCTGTTTTTCAGTACTTGTGGGTTTGTGTTCATTTCTATTCTTTTATGGTCTTTATTTATGCAGGAAATGCATTGATTGAATAAAATTCATTGAGTTATTTTGAATACATCTGCTGCTGTATCAATCTTCAAAAGAGTAGGAAATACTTACTTTGAACGTCTTTATAAACGATATTAGATCCCTGGTATTCATAATCAAACGTGCAAAATTCAATGACAGACTCCCTGTCTGAAAAGATAAATACCTTTCATAAAATATATCATTTAACAGGCTTAAAATTGAGCTCCTTGAGCATTATCCTATAATCAAATAGGTTTTGCCTCAGTAGAATTGCAACTCGTTTCCGTTTTCACAGTGCTCCAGCACCAAGAAGGTACATATACGTATGGGAAAAGTATTTTTTCTGCTTTCTTATTAAATTACTAGAGATATATACAACAATGAGAACTTTCATTTAAATTAAGAACAAAATGGAAAAATATTGTGTTTAGAGAAAAAGCAATATAATACATTCAGTTAAAGTGTTTTACATGTAAATTTCATTTCAGAAGAAAAAAAGCTCTAGTCCTCAACGTGAACATTTATTAGCAATGGCAATTTTTAATTTGCCGTTACATTTTCTGGTACTTACCTTGAAGGAGATCGAAGTGTTCCCAACCGGGTATCGAAAGATAAGTTACCGTCTTAGACGTGGAATATTCATCAAACACATAGCAAAGACAATTTCCCTCATCAAACCCCAGGGACCTACATTCGAGGGAGGAAGCACACAGGGACATACACTCCCGGAGAGTACACGTGCTACTGGAGTTCTTGATATTTGGGGTATAACGATAATTGTCTGTGACGTCACTGTTTTTGGTCCAGGAAAGGCAACAGTTGGCATTTGTAGATTTAGTAAAGTGGAGGAAAGATAGTAGGAATATAAACATGATTGTATTGGTAACGACTCAACAATGGGAATATTACAAATGGGAAAGATTCTACGTTGAAATAAATTTTATATGAATTGATAAACTACATCGATCATATGCTGGTGGCTGAATGGGTACGCTTACGTTTACTGACAACCAATTGCGCCCTTGTTTGCAGTATGAATGTACTTCCGGTGTACAAAAAAGCGTTATCTTTGTGAGCTGAAAATCACAAAGCGCTTAAAGTCAAATATACTTGACAACTTTCTGCTAATCATTATCGACTGTTGGCTGGAACAATATTATATCATAATATGTGTAACAGTTTTACACAATAGATGGAATTGATTTTATGCTTTTGTTTGCTTGTACCCCCTACGACTTCCTAAGTATATGTGCATTGTGGAAAAAGGGTACTTGTTCCAGCGTTTGAATTTAAAAATTAAAAAAAGATAATTATGCATCTATAAAGTCTCTTTTATAGTAGTTTCAGTCCTAAGATATTTATCTTATCACTACCTTCTTTAACTCGTGTTTTCAATATAGATCTTTAAGACTGATTTATTATGAGTTGTTTAACGTCACAGCGAGATTTATCATTCGTATAGCACTACAGATGAAGATTCCGGACTTCAGTCTATACACTAGTCCAACATTGATACCCCCACCCATTCTGCCAGCATCTTGTTCCCACGATTGTTTTTATCTCCCGATCCTTAAACTCTCATCTGGTCCCGGAGATTCAAGACGTTTACATCCTTGCTATTCACTTATTTATAACTTAATGATGATTGATAAAAAATTTTGCAATTCAATATTAAGAAACTGAGGACTTATTTAGACCACACCTGATGTTCGATACCTAATGTCCAATCCAATCATGTAATCTGACTTTTCATAATAAAATATTGATTAAATTAATCAAGAAGCAGAGATGCAAATTTTTTTTTAGGCCTTTAAGAATATAAAACTTGAAGTCCTCTTACTTTTGTCTTCTGTGTCGCCTGCAAAGCAGAGCGACACTTAAAAATCACTTTACCTGGCGTATGTCTGTCAGTTCGTCTGTCACACCTTATATCTGGAGAATTGAAAGAGGTTTTGATTTGGTATTTTGTACATATATTGCTTGGCACTTTGGCTTTTGTAAATACTACCGACCTGGTGACCATGAAATTGACCTTTCACCTTGCTTTTCAAAATACTTCATAGTATTTTACAGCATATTTTGACAATTAAGAGAAAAGTCTCTGCTATTTAGCACTTGCACTGTTTGTTATAATACCAGCGCTACGGTCCACTTGACCTTGACATTTGACCTATTTTGCCAAAAAAAAAAAAAAAACAAAACAAAACAAAACAAAAAAAAACAAACAAACAAACAAAAAACCATAACCGAGTTACGTCTTTTTAATCTTGAGAGAAGGGTTTTGATAATTGGCATTTATATCATATGTTTTGAGCTCATGATAATATACTTTGAAAACTGTATGATATGCAGTTAACACGCAAACTGAAATTTAAATACTTTGAAAATACATCCGGATCAGTATTCTATATTTCTATTTGAATGTCAGATTCTATCGCAATCTTACTATCCGTTAATATGCAAACGCATGAACTATAATGCTAGTAGCAAATAAATAGCTGACCTCTATTAGATTTATTTACATCTTTTATGATGTTATAAAGGCGACACGTGCGTTCCTTGGAATATTTTAGTTTAAATTTCTTATGGATAATATTTTCCTTGTGAAATAGTGTTAGCTCACCTGAGCGGAATGCTCAAGTGAGCTTTTCTGATTACCTGTTGTCCGTCGACCGTCCGTCCGTCCGTCCATCTGTAAACTTTTCACATTTACAACTTCTTCACAAGAACCACTTGGCCAATTTTAACCAAAGTTGGTACAAAGCATCCTTGGGTGAAGAGGAGTTTAAATTGATTTAAAATGAAGGGCCTAGCCCCCTTCCCTAACAAAAAATACTATCGTTAACTATAGTTTACTATTGTTAAGTATAGTTAACTATAGTGATAACTTTGACACTTTGATTTACTATAGTGATAACTTTGACACTTTGATTTACTATAGTGATCACTATGAAAACTTTGATTTACTATGGTGAAAACTTTGATTTACTATAGTGATAACTTTGAAAACTTTGATTTACTATAGTGATCACTATGACACTATAGTGGTCACTTTGAAAACTTTGATTTACTATAGTGATAACTTTGACACTTTGATTTACTATTGTTAACTATAGTAAACTATAGTTTACTATAGTATTTTTTGTTAGGGTTACAAGGGAATAAAATTAAAAAAAGACAAAAATAGGGTGGGGTCATTAAAAAATCTTCGTCTCAAGAACGACAGGGCCAGAAAACTGAAACTTATGTGTAAGTATCCTGGGGAAGTGTAAATTCTAAATTGTTCAAATCTTGACCCCGGATTTAGGGTGGGACCACAATGGGGAATCCAAGTTTTACAATGAAATACAGAGGAAAAATCTTTAAGAAATTTTCTTCTCAAGAACCAGAGGGCCAGAAAAGCTGAAACTAGTCTGAAAGCATCCTGGGTTGTATAGATTTGAAATTATTTAAATCATGACCCCGAGGGGTATGGTGGGGCCCCAAAAGGGAATCCAAGTTTAACAGTGAAACTTTTAGGCAAAATCTTTAAAAATCTTCTTCTCAAGAACTACTGGGCCAGAAAAGCTGAACCTCGTGTAGATGCATCTTGGAGTTGTGTAGATTCTAAATTGTTAAAATCATGACCCCCAGGGGTAGGGTGGGGGACCAAAAAGGAAATCCAAGTTTAACAGTGAAACATAAAATCTTTAAAAAATCTTCTTCACAATCATCACAGGGCTAGAAAAGCTTAAACTTAATTGGAAGCCTCCTGATGTGGTGTTGATTTTAAATTGATTAAATCATGACCCCCGGGGGTAGGATGGGGCCACAACAGAGAATCCAATTTTTACATTGAAATATACAGTAAAAATCTTTAAAAATCTTCTTCTCAAGAACCATTGGGCCAGAAAAGCTTAGACTTATATGGAAGCTTCCTGGGGTAGTATAAATTCTAAATTGTTCAGATCGTGATCCCCCTCCCAGTGGTTGGGTAGGACCACAATAAGTAACACAAAGGGGAAATCTGTTGAAGAAGAACAGGTCCAAAGTTAATCAGCAAGTTACATGTTCTTAAAAATTCTATATTAGGTATTCTATTTTCTCAGCTACAGCATACTTTGAGTAAACAGAAATTATTGTATTTAAATGTGATGGACATTTGCATTTAATTCAACCTTTTAGTAAACCTTGGTCCTCTTTTATTATGACTCGCTTTAACACAAAAGATACATTAATAATAGACCTATTTGTCAACCAGAGTCTCCCTCTGAAGTTATTGTAAGGGCTAAGTTCAGTAGTTAGTTTAGCAGATATAGTACATGTGTAATTTCATTCATGTCTAATCTTAAAATGTTTATGTTTGTCAAACAATCATAAACAGGAAACTTCCATTTGTTTGTTTGCTGAAAGCAAAGATACTTTTTACATTTAAAAAGCTGAACACTTGCATAATCGTTTAATGAAGATAGTAATCATCGTTTTTTTTCAGCGTTGTTTTTTGTGTCAAATGACCCTTTACAGAAAGTCCAAATTCTAGTTTACATTATATATTCTTAAAGAGGTGCTTGTTATATTTTATATTATTTGGGGGGAAAGCCATCAATAAATTATTAAAATTAATCCTCTAGCTTAAGGAGTTTTCGACTCAAATATAGATACGTTTTAAAAAGAATTATAGACTCTTTACGACAGAATACATCAGTTTACGTATCTCAGAGATTTATTAAATAGACTTATTTAAAAAATCTTAGACAAAATTAAAAAAAGCCCCCAAAATAAAAACAAAGCAAACAGAAAACAAAAATACACACACATACACAGCGATTAAAGATGAAGTAGATGGCGGAAGAAAACGAAAAACATATGTATAATTTTCACCAATATTTGAAATGATTTCATTTTCATGCAAATAATTGAAGTCTGATCATTTAAAAGACTAGAAATAAAGCAAAACTTAAATGAAGCTTGACCTCCACCGATTGTTCTTTCTATCACACCGATGAGAAAAGCCACAAAGGCATGCATTGCTTTTGCGATGAAAATCACTAATTAAAGTTTGTAAGTGCAGAACGACATAAAACTAATAAAGCTGGAGAGCTACAATGATTAATGGAGGTTACGATTGATACCTTTTACGATTGTCCAGACGAGCATTGAGCTCTAATCATCGATTCAACTTATTAATGAAATCAGCATCATTCTTACAGTCCAAAGGGTTGTTCCTATCTCTAATACCCGCCTTCAGCTTTTGAATCAAAATGTAGGATACCTGTACGTTAACTCTTGATGTATCTTGTAGTCTTAAGATTAAGAAAGATCTTAAAATTATCATTAGATATGAGTTTTGTATGATGCAATCATATAATATAATTTGGTCTTGAGCTAGATCTTATTCATAAGAAGGCCAAGGCTCTTAAAAAATTAAGTTTGTGCAAAAACAAAAAAAAGATAATAATGTTACTGTATGCAATGCCGAGGATCTGTTAACAGTATTAAGTAGGGTGTTTCATCCCCCAAAACACTTTCCGTTTGATTTTATTCTGAATATTAGGTAGAGAATGTTCATGTGTTTTTATCTGAACTCTCAAGAAAGGTTGGTTTTTCACGGCATTAAATGGGATTAACAGTGATAGTCATTAAGTGTTCTATGTTATCTACAGACATGTAGCAAACATTTCCAGTTTCAGGAGGGGGACTGAAAGTGTAATCAACCTTTCATGCTTATTAATTTAAAAAAACTGGAAAAACTTATAGAGGCTTAATTCTTTTATTACTTTATGCCCCAAACACCTCGGCACATTTACGTTCAGCGATTATGACGTCATCGATGTAGAGACTGCCGTTACTACTTTTCGTGCTTCCATAGATTGCCTACAAAACATTAATTTTAGTGTATATCAAAATACGACATACTAAAACACTATGTTAAATCTTGATTAATGTATGATATTTTGCCTCTAGTAATTTTCCCTATATACAATTAGTTCGGTAGATATGAATAATCCTTTAGAAATCGCTGTGAAAGGCTAATCCCCGTTTTACCGTTCGTTAATTAAATTAGCTTATTCCTGCTTCGAAATTTGTATCGGTATGATAAATCCGTATATCATTGACGGAGTTAGCAAGATTCCAATTCCCCATTGACCAGGACTATTTCCCGAGACGAAGCCGAGAGAAATAGTCCTGGCCTCGAGGAACTGGATTCTTGCTAACTCCCTCAATGATATACTTTAAATGTGTAATAACCCCCTTTATAGACTTAAAAAAATTATAACTACATTAAAAAAATATGACAAAACTCACGAATCGAAGATCTTTTGGGAGAGTCTGATTTGACATGTCGTATCGAAGAACGCTCCATTTGCGGTAGCCATTCTGTGGTTTCTCAATTTTTAGGATAGGATGGTAAAAATTCGGTTTTTGAAAGAAGAGGGATAGGATGCAGCCTTCCTCTTCCATTCTGTATGTAAAGCTGACACAGACGTCAGTTCCTATTTGAAAATACAAGAAAGAAAACTTAAAGTCGGATTATACCATAGTATCAGACAAAAATGTATTTCTTGTAAATTTCATATAAAAATTCAGACATTTTGGGGGTTTAACCGATTTGGTCGCATGAAAATGCAACTTTTTTGCATCTACTATTCTTCCTATAAATATGACAATTATGAATTTCACTAGATACAATAATTTTTAAAAAGATAATTTGTTAATTTAAAATAATGATAGAAGTATATCCTCAGTTTCTTTCACAATATGATTTTTGTGCAATCACTTTTTTTGAAATTGGTTTTTATTGTTTATAATTTTGCACAAATGATAAATGCTATGGGGAATATATCAATTTATATTTATTAATCCCTGTAACATTGAATAGGTTGCTCTTTGTAAATATTTTTATCGTCTTGGATAAATAAAATCCTTATGCCATCGATATAAAATAAATACTGCTGTATTTAAAAAGTATGAACAAAATTGAATGAATATAAATTCAAACATTGAATTCTTATTTTTGGATGTCGTTGGTCCTATAACACATCTGACCGTGCCAACAAATTGAATACCGCGCGTTAGCGCAGTATGATACTTTGTCGGCATGGCCAGGTGTGTTGTAGGACCGACGACATCCAAAAATAAGAATTCAATGCTTATATGTACATTTTCTTATTTTCTCTCCTCATAATTGTTAATTTTGTTAATCTTTATTATGAATTTAGCACCTTTCAGAACTGGTGTGCTTAATAGACGTAAGAACCGTTTGTGACGTGTTAAATAACGCCTGTTATTCCTGCGAGGAAAAAAAATGACAAACCAATTTTAAACGCACAGTTATTGTATTTTTAAGTTTATTTAACAGGGTAAATGTTTTCATTAAATTGAGTCAAAACAATATACATTTTGGATTTCCTAGAGTATTGAAAATGCATATAGTTCCTACCGTGTATTCTACCGCGCAGTGACAAGGTTCCGTGTGTGTTATAGAGATTTGAACGTCGTGGATTTCTAATGGATTTCATAAGTCACACTGAATTTAAATATTCGATTTTTAATGACCTTTTTTTTCTTGAAATACCCATAAAGACAAGAAAAAAAATGTATTTGTTTACTTCATTTTTTATATTAACTCATTCCTTACCACACTAGTAAACAAAACTGCTGAATTGAAAAGATAACCTAGTTGTAATTCTCACCAGTTGTTTCAACATGTGTCGTTGAAAGCCAGAATTCCTGATTCCTGTTTATTCGGCCAATAAAAGCTTCACCATCTGGACCAAGCTCCTTGTTTTAGAGAAGAAACAGTTAAATATACATGTAATACAAAATCTTTAAAATGCAAATCGACTAAAAAAAATCTAAAATATTAAGAATAAAACTGACAGAAGAAAAGAATTTTAAAGATAAAATCGAAATATAAAAAGCAATCATACAGGCCAGTCTTTTAGATCTCCTGTCAGTGTCAGCTCTTTTTTGTCCGCGAAATTATGTCTCAGCACAAAAACTTCCTCTGCAAAGCACGATTAAAACTTCCTTAATTTTATTAAACCAAACCCCTCCTTCCTTCCAACCTAATATCCCTTTTAAACTTCAAGCTTACAAAAATGTAATTCTGTAATTCATTCATATATATATATATATATATATATATATATATATATATATATATATATATATATATATATATATATATATATATATATATATATATATATAGTTACTGTAATAAATCAGAATTAGTATAGTGGATTGAAATATATTTTGAATCACCCAATCAAATCACTTTATATGTAGCCAATCAACGTTTACATTTCAGCCAACCAAATGATTAGAATTATTAACCAATCAGAACTAATTGAACAGATGCAAAATAGTATAAATAAAGGGATCAATGTAGCTTTGGTTTTACTTTTAGTGTAACTTATTGTTGGAGTTAGGTGATTTGGGTTGGGTTCCTGAGCTGTGTCGGGAAACAAAAGAATTGTTAGTTAGACCACTCAGCTCAAAAACCTAGTTCCCTAGTGTCTTTCTGACTAGCTATAGTGTCTCGGTGACTTTAGCTTGTGTCTGTAACCAAAAGTGATTATATATATATAGTGTCCTGGTGACTAGCTATAGTGTCTTGGTGACTTTAGCTTGTGTCTCTGTGACTTCAAGGTGTATCTGTGCCCTTGTGATAGGGTGTTTTTAGGTAGTTGCAGGCTTTGTTGGGAAACAAAAGAATTGTTGGTTAAACCACTCAGTCTGCAGCTTCAGGGATCAGTTAATAAATATGTAGTAAGGTTGGCATCTTCTATTGATTTGATTATAGGTGATTCGTTGTTATAGTTCGTTACTGTTTAATTTGACAATCATTATCCAGATAGGACCAAGGAAAAGTAAATATAGTGGATTTCAGTCAGTCATTCTTTTAGTGTCATTAATATTATAGAAGTTTGTTTTGATTTTACATTGTAAGCGTGATTCTTAGGAAGGAAACCTAAGCGAACCCAATTATTAATCATTTGTACATAGTAAAAACGTAAAAACGTTACAATATATATATATAAATCTTCGTAAATATGAAGTTATTGTCTCTATTAGAAATAAAAGACTTGTCTCTATTGTCTCGTACAACACTAACTTGAATTGACTAATGAAACACTACAGAAGCTGCACTATTTAAATAAACTGTAAAATGAACGTGATCAGATTTTTCTTCTAAACACTTAAGGTAGTCCGATCCTCAGGTTCTGAAAATCAGGCATTGAATAATTGAAAATGCTCACAAAAATGTCTCTGAATTCTTAAAGAAATGTGAATTTACCCACGGTAATTATTCAAACCTCATCATTAAAGTTAATCATATTACAGGCCCGTTGGAAGCAATTTCAGTTGGGGGGGGGGGGGGCAACCATACATTTTCAGACTTTCAGTTGGGGGGGGCACTATTAACTACCAAAATTTGAAGAAAATTGCATGATTTTTATACTTATATAGTACTTCAGTTTCTTCTGTGTACTTCAATTATTTTATTATGCATACTTTATAAAGTGTTTCCTATCATTGCAAAACACCATAAATCGTTTCTAATTTCATATCATGCTAATTAGCATTGGTATCTAAAGTTGAATTAAAGGAAAAGTCGATTTCTTTAAATCTGTATTTTTAACATACCTTGGCTTCATAGGGTAAAAATATCAACGTTTTTAAAGACTGTTTTTAAAACTTCAAAGAACCTTGAATCACACTGAGATGCATAAAATGAAAATTGTTGCATGAAAAGATTTCATATTTAAGCTTCATTTTGAGACTTTTTGAATTAAATAATAAATTAAACAGTTATCCTTCCTGGCTGAGGATCGGATATCCTTAACATATTAACGAGTTGCTTTATCTTTATGTCACATTACATACGAAGATGAACAAGTGCTACCAATATCATGATATGATGATGAACAATAGAAAATTTTGCTTCCATTAAAATTAAATAAATAACTCCATATCAAAAATTTTTGTACTATACAGACCTTGGCATCTGTCTCCCAAATATTCCCAAGAACATTCACAGTGTAAGTTAGAGATCAACGAACATACACCGCCATTTTGACAATAGTTAACACATGGGTCTACAGTAACTGTTACAGATCTGGCTACTGTTGACAGAGGGAAAAAAAGTTATTTTTAGAATTTTCATCATAAAATTAATCTAATGAGTTAAATTGAGGTTTAAATCAGAGATTAAAGTTTAAAGAGTATAAAAATTTCTGAAGGTCAAATGATACTCACATGCGCTTGCGTTGGCTCCTTCAGTTAAAAACAAAGCAAAGCTGACAAAGAACAAACAATATAACCGACACATTGTTAGCCTTGTTCACTGGGCTCCAGTCAAGTGATGGTTCTCAGAGAGACCCCTCTCTCCATATATAGGAAGTTCCTGCCCACTGTCATGTTTTAATCTTACGATAACACAATGATTTAATTATAGATATTTTTTTCATTATATGTTTTTTTTATTATATCTCCTGCCTTAATCATATTTTTATATATTGATTGACCAGTTTCGTAGAAAAGAATCCATATTCTTAACTAGCCTATCCCATTTATGACATGATGTACTTTTATAAAATATTATGATAAGTTTGCATTTTGTAGAATGCGTTTCTTTTGTTTCTAGATATTCTTTCTTTCTTAGTATAAGAAAAAAATAAAACATATTTGTCATTATTTTAATTAGTCTCTAGATTTTAGGCAAATTCCAGATACTGTGCATATCAACAAACTTTTCTCATATTTAAAAGTAATTTTGTTTATTTTGATGTTTTTAAACTAATTTTACATTTTTTATTAGATTGAAATTATTTTTATTATTTCAATTGAAAATGTCATATTTATAAGTTGCTGCAGTCATAATCTTTGCAGAAAACCCAACACTCCAGGATTTTCGGAAGATATAAATAAAAATAGTGTATCATAATACCATATCATAATCCCTTCTTTCTCTGTAATTTGCTTTGGCGAAAAAATATTTAAACAGGTAACGAAATTAATTGAAATCAGTTGAATAGCTCTGTTAGATTAACTTTTCAGAAAAATGTGAAAACAAGACAAAATTCGTTTCATGGTAGAGGAAATTGAACCTCCTATTTTTTCAAGTAAAAAATATGGAAGATGCTTAAATCGTTTTCCCTCCTATATATATGAGCATTTCTTGCCATTTTCGAGAATATGTGTTTTCGGGGGGGGGGGGGGCTGGGGGGATCCAAGGTAATTTTTAGTGACTTTACTATGTAAATTTAATAATTCCAAAAACCATAGGGGTCGGGATGGAGGGTTACGAAATCCCCTGACAGCATCCTTCTAGATCCGAGCATGTTCACCTATGAGTGATCATTCAATGTGTTCGAATAATACAGTTAATTCTCGGTGTCTCATACTTGATTCGGAATTTGAAATCCGATAAAAAGTTGTAGTTCCAACTTTGTTGTCTCAAGCTATCAGGTTTTACGGAGATATTAAAAGTCCTGTCATGTACCAATTATCCTGGTTCCACTGTATGCCATTACCTTCCTATTTCTCCTACAACAGTTCTGCAACCCCATGTATGTTTTGATATATTTGTTACTTTGGCAGGGATACTGCACCAACTTGATAAATCATATTTCAAATAATTCATAATAATCATATTCATCCTTTTTCATAGTGTCCCTCAGTTTTAAAACACTTTAAACTAATCTAAAACGTTTGAAAAAAAAAACACTTTAGTTTTCCTCCAAAATAATGGTGTTGCTTTTTACTCTGAAATGTTGGATGAAAGGCTTGTCGTATGTATTTTTTAAGAGAAGAATTTGTATATTTAATGTATTATTTATAAATAAGGTCCAATCCTATCGTTTTTATTATAATAAATTCACCTCGTTTTTGTCATCAAACGGCTCTAAGTGTTTGAAAGTGTATAACTATGTTTTTAAGACCTTTTCAATATACTAGTATCAAACTTTATTTTTAGCTGTTTAAAGATATTTTTAATTTACTAACCTTTTATCATGCTTAATAATCTTTCTATCAGGTTCCAACTCATTTTTTGATGCAAAAAGTGCATGCACAGAAAGTGCACTCACCGGCAAATACATCTTCATTATTGAGAGAATGATTTTTTCTTAAAAAAAAACACTAATAATTTACCCAAGTCAACAAACATACAGGCTAAATTTAAAAAAAATAAATAAAAAAAGCAAAAAATTAACACATCAAATAAAGAAATTAAAACTCGAGCATTGCGGTCTCACTCTTTAGGGTCATGGTGCTATTATCTATGGTGTTGTCGTTACGTCATACGAAACCAAGTCCAAGTCATTTATTTAATGAATTCTGAATCCATTGTCCATATTAAATTATATTCATGTACACCTAGATGCAAATTTTCTTGCCTGTTTTTTTCTGTTTTTACTTTGAATGGAGCAAATGCTCTGTAAATCCTGTCTCTTATGGTGCAAAAGTCACGGTCAAAGTTAAAATTTTTGAAAAGTTTGTCAAACTTGAAAGTCAAGGTCATGAGGTCAAAAATCTTAGTTCTAGTATGTTCAAATTCAGTCTAAAAACTAAGACATAACAATTGGTATGAAACAAGTCAGCCAAAATACGACCCAGTAATAGGTTATATTTGCTAACAAGGTCATTATAATGGTCATGAAATACTATATGCTGACTTTAACTGAGGTTATTGAAATCTCTGTAACTTCAACTTATCTGTCAGTAGTCTGCCTTGGTTTAAAAATTGATGGTACTCAAAGCATGATCTTGAGTATCGAATAAGTTGGGAGATGTAAACACCATATACATCTATATACAGATTATAGCGTGATATTTAAGGAATAAATGTCTATTTTTTTGGATTCATGATGTGATCAATCGAGTGGCTTGCGTGATAATTTGCATAAACGCCGAAGGCGTTTATGCATAAAATTATCACGCAAGCCAATCGATTGATCATCGCCATGAATCCAAAAAATCTGAGTTATTCCTTATATTTACATGCTCCTGATTCTGCAAATTCCCGTGCTAATAGCCCCGCTTCTGTCTCTATTTGTCCCGCCCCGCACGTGATTTTTTTTTAACCGCGCCTATCGATGAACCAGTAGATTTATGTAGAAATAAAGTATTTTTACAATTTGTAATTTTATCTCGGACAAAGACATTGGAAATGTAAATATTACTACATAAATAAGGAAAGTTGATGATGGAAAAGTTAAGGTCATCTCGTTTGTCATACAATTTAGTTGTTAGCAAGCCATTATCGTCTGTAGTTAGTAAAACATCCAAAAATGAAACAGATGTGGTAGACTCCGTGGTGTCTTATATGTCACGTTCACTGAGATCTATCGAGTCAACATATGAATAAAAGTGACTATTGCTAATTGATGATATATCGCCGATATATCTAAATGTCGAGCTGTAGTCACAGCAAGTGTTTTCTTCTTCTCATGTAGAAGTATTTGAATAAATTCTGCTTCCTAGGAATATAAAAACAGATAGGCTAATAAAGGAGCACAATTAGTACCCATCTGAATTCCAACAGTTTGTTGGAAGACCTGGTCTCCAAAGACTACATAAATTTTTCAAGGAGGAACTCCAGCATCCTTTTAATATTAACTTCAGAGTACTTGTCTGTAGAATCAGGGTGATTTATAATTTTGTTGATGATCAATCACAAGATTGGAAAATTTCCGACTTCCATTTTTAATTTCATTAAAGAAGCAGTTATCTATGATATCTATGTGTCTAGTTTTTAACTTATCTTGAGGAATGGTTGTATAAAGTGTAGAAAAGTCGTACGTTTGATGTAACTGACTTTTGAAAAAGAACAAGTCTCAATAAGGCTTATCTGTGGTCCCCGGTTACTCGTCAAATTTCGAACATTTATTAAAAGATTTAAAAATTAAATTTTATTATTAACTAACGTCTTTATTATTTGAATCATCATCTAAAAATGTCAAACAACAGATATAGGCAGGATACGAAGCTGCGTGTTGAAGATAGGGTCCTTTGATTTTCATGAATTTCAAAAGAAATCAGCGACACGTACACACTTCAAAGCTTTCGTAAACACCGAGCACAGGTTTGTTCAGAGTCGAGTTTGAAATATAATGTGTACATTATATGTGTAAAGGTTGAGTGAAAATATCTTTGTTGAACAACCTTGTGCTCTATGTTTTCTAATTAAAAATATTGTGATTTTGAATCTCTTCGCTGACTTCATTTACATGCGATTAACCTCTTTATGACCTGTTTAGAATCATAACAAGCCACGTGGATTTGTATCGTTACGGGTAATTGCCCCCCGGTAAACGTGCTAGCTCTCAGCTGAAACGTACTCAGTTTTATATCTGTCAGCATGGACTTGTTTGGTTCATCTTGTTATAGCGTTTTATTGCCAAAGATTTGTAAACAGAAGATTGTATTTGTGTTTGATTGTGAATCTTGAACATATAATTCGTCTTTGAAAGAAAAATGTCATATCAAGATATTCTTTTTATAGTATCTAATCTAAATGTCTCCGCCCATTTCCATGTAATAGAGGAACCGTTGTCTGACCGGGGGAAAATGTTCCGGCATTTTTTAGTGCGATAGGTTTAAAAAATTGGATTGTATTTTTTGATACGTTTAATTATTCATTATAAATACACAATGCTTTAATTAGAAATACTTCGTTATACACAATGAAAACAAACAAAATACCGTATGCTAATATTTAACCGGTAAACCAAGGGTGTAAAAAGGGACCACACTACTATACTTAAGTAGAATACTCCTTTGGCGAGTTTTTGATAAGTCAGATTTACACCACTTCTAGAATATGTGTAGACAGTACGTCTGAAGTTTTTGAAGTTGAAACGCCATTGGATGTTTTGAAATCTTTGTCTTTAATAATGTCTACTTTCTCTTAACCCTGCCAGTTTTTGGTTTATGGCTGTTCTCAAAATTTTCAATGCATTTTTATGATAAAGTTCCCCAATTTTAAAGACCTAGCCTCACAGTAGTTTTCTCCAAGAGACTATTGACTTGATTTGGTGAAATTGCTTCTAAATCTATTGGCTCCCCTCTTCTGTCAATGCCCCAGTCTAATTAAATTACAAGATAATACTATTACGTAAACATATTAAAAATGTTTTGTTTTTATTCAAATTTTACATTAAAGTTATTTTAGCCTTTTTTATAATTTATTTTGATAGAATATCTTGCTTTTTCAAAAGCCCCCTTTTGGTGTTTTTCTTGGTTCCTGGGGTTTGGCTAGCCTCAAAAAACTGGTTCAGTTCTTCTGTGATTTGGTTGAATCTGTTAGTTTTGAGAGGGGAAGCAGGT